TTCTCAAAACAATCAAATAATTGTCCCATTATATTAATTAATGTCAATGATACTTGTTTAGCTAAATCATCACCCCAAGTGATATCACCATTCGAAAGTAGAATAATTCCTAGACTTCGTTTTTCATTTGCCATCATTGTATGAGCAACTCCTGGCATCCATCCACGATGTCCTATTAAATGTCGATTATTTTGATATCGCCAATTCCAAATTAAACCATATTGAACATTAGGTTCATCTATTGAACCTTCTTGTCGACTAACATGAAGTATTTCCTTAATTGATGATAAATTTTGAAGAAGATTAGGAGAAAAATTCTTAAGAAAAGATCGAAGATAAATTGATAAAGAACGAGCTGACATACGAAGCATAGCTGATGGATAAACACTAATACTATAATGAGGTATATAAAGCCATTCACTTGAATTCAAAGCCTATAATATGACAATCTAATATTGATACCTTTCTTAAAATAAATCTTACTTGAACGACATGTAATTGTGGTGCTATTTGATGATAAATACTTAGTAATGATACATTATAAACATAATGTTCAACTAAATCTGTTTTTCTCATTGCAAAAGTTGACAATCGATAGCTTGCTTCAGTATTTGAAATACCCAATGGATCGAAAATTTTATATCGAACATAATTTTCAAATGAAAGATCAGATATTCTTTCAATAATAAGAGCACCCCAAGCAGCACCAACATTTGTATAATATGTTACATTACCTGGTGCTTCAGATAACCAACTTGCTTTATTTAATAAATATCTAAGAATAACATCTGTTAAATTTGTTTTTAAGAAATCATCTCCTATCATTCCATGATGAAATTCTTCTTCATAATTTGATCCAAGACCAGATGAATGTGAAAGAATATGACGCATAGTTATAATTGAATATGGAAACAATGGATGTGATATTCTTATTGGAAATTTTAAATATTGATTAACATCAACATCAAGATTGAGTTGACCTTTTTCGACTAATTGCATAGCTGCAAGAGCAATGAATGTTTTTGAGAGAGAAGCTAAAACAAAAATTGATTTCGATGGATCAATTGGATATTGATTTGAAATAGGTGAATGATAACCAAAACCTTCTTCATAGAGAATATTACTTGAATTTACAACAATTGCTGCAAGACCAGGAATATGAACATTTCGTAATTGATTTTCGATTAATATTCGAGATGGAGGACATTGATAAGCTTTTATAGTCACTGAAAAAGCGAGTAACAAATAAAAAAACATGTTAATCGATGATTTATGTCGTTTATGTGCATATATATATTTATTTGAAAAGAGATTAACAATGATAAAATATCATTCGACGATAGTTTCTCTTAAATTGAATGAGTGAAGGATTTGAAAAAAAAGATTCTATTTACAAAATTAGGCAAACATAGATTCGAAATAGATATTTCAAATTTATATTATATCATAGACTAGTAATCTGAACTTTAGTCGAAAGTAAAAATATTGAAGCATGAAGTGTAGATCGACTTGTGCTTAAAGAGTAGAATAACACCGAAACTCACAAACGTCTCTCCGAGATATGAATTTTTCAAAATATAGGTACTTTTCCATGATCACTGCAAAAACATGGATATTTTGAAAGATTTTGTCAAAGTATTACGAATTTTTTTTTTTACAAGCTAATCTAATTGAAACCTTTATGTGGGCAAAGTTTCAGGTCAAAATTTAAAATTACGATTTTACTGGAAAACTGAAATTTTGCAGAAAAAATTTATTAAAAATTCGATATCTCAGCAACAAAGATCCAACAACTCGAACTACTCTAGAGTATTTACCTACTGACTAGGCTCTATCGATTGAATATACCTTCAGTTTCAAAGCGATTCATCACTTTGAGATCTTCCTTCGTTAGTAACAAGGCAAACAAAAAACACCCTAGGGAGAACTCATAGACTATTTGCTCAATCTGTATTCCTAGTTTATTTTGTGAGCGCAACTACTATTAAGTAACATAGTTGAATACAGAACTCGTTAAAAAATGGCAAGAGCTAAAAACTTGTTATGCCATGAATATTTTGTATCTTGCATGGTAGAATAAATCCTTGTACAGCTGTAATGTATACTTGTAGACTTACGCCATCTGTTTGCAAAGCAAATTTTGAGGTGCCTTCATAGCATTCAATATGAAAGAAAAATTGGAGAATTTTGCAAAAATATACTAGATCGAATATTATTATGGGTTCAAGTCCTACCAAAACGATTCTTGTTTGTACAAATGAACTCGTGCAACAACCAGTATCAGTCTATGTACCTTTAGAATCGCTCACTGAACCAGTTGTCCGTTCTATAATTTCAGTTATAACTTCATCTTATGAACTAAATATGAATTATAGCCAACGTACTCTTCTTATGTTCTTACTTGCAATCGACGAAAAATTGCAACAAATTGAAAATAAAACAGATACAGCTGAACAAATATCCGATGAAAGTATTATTCAGCATGCAAAAAACGTTCGTCAATGGCTCGTATACAATAATAAAGAGCCATTAAACTGGGACGAACTTCGTAAAATATATAATAAAATGACCAAACAAGAATACAATTCTTTGGCGAATTATTTCGGAGTCAAAGATGCAGTTCCTTACTTTGAATTAACAATGAGAACTGTGAGTTGTTCATAATTCTATTGCATATGTATATTTAAAGTTTCTATTTTTTTGCTGAAAAAAAAAACAGAAAATAGTCTTTTGATTATAGTTAGACAACAGTTTTCGGAGTTTATTATGCGTTCAGTATTAACTTTTAGCAAAATATATTTCAAAATTTGTTTTGGATTAAAGATTTAAACACTGTTAGTTCGCCGTTTAACGAGAAATTCTGATATTTTGAAAAACATTAAACAACAAAGAAAACACAAAACTATCTTAGAAGAATGAATAGAAAACTTTAAGTTTATGGAATATTCTGACAACACTTTCGAGTTTCTCCAATAATTATCGTAATCAAATCACTTTTCATGTTATCATGATAAACTCATCAATGTCTACGTAATAGTATATGTCATACTAAAAACAAACAATAACACTTGATAAATTCATTGCTCTCGTAAATAATAATTTACACTGGAATACTGTCATTTTATTAGAATTAGTACTCATACTATCCATAATAAAATCTTGACGAAAGCAAGAATCAAAAAGTCATCATGACACTGGCATCCCGATGCGGATTTCTTTATCAAATTTTTTTTTTTGAAGTTTACCGTATTTATATATATAATGGGTTCGAATAGAGAAAATGGTTTCCAACAAGATTATAAGAAAATAGAAATTATTATTAGATCAACAAAGATAGGGACTCTAAAAAACCAAAACTCTAGTTTTTCAACACCTAGAATGGATGAATTTAATTTTGTCTACACCACATAGAACGATTGAGTAAGCCATGGTCTACAAAATCATACATCACCGAGTTCTCTGATATACAATAATTTGATTGAAGGCCAACAAAATGGTTTTTCTATAGGAATTTTGAAAAAAAAACCGACTTGAGGAACTTTTGTAAAATTACTGTCTTCAACTAAAAAATGTAGCAGGGTACTAGAAGACATCTCATTTTGTAGAGAATCGTTTGCTCTGTTGTTATATGTACTCTAAACAAAATTATTTGTAACTGTTCTAGATGTTAAAAAATTAGCCTTTTGGTCTTCAAGAGTCCTTGTCTTTGAAAATCTAACAATAATTTTTTATTTCCTTATATTGCTTGTTTTTAAAACAATTTTCTTTATTCGAATCACTATTTGGATTCTTCCTAGCACTTACAGTAGCGTAAACAAAATGAAAATAAACCTTGTTAAATAATTGTTATACCCATTTTATGAACTACTTGCTTATTGCATTTTTGGAGGTTTAAGTAAAAGGATGGTGAAGAAATCTGTCCCAAAATATATAGAATAAAGTATTATTCTCTGTGATTAGCAATAGCAACTACATCATGTTTCACATTTTAGTCCCACAAGAATTGTACTAGCAGATTTTTTTCACGAAATTAGATCAATAATTTTTTTAAATTATCGTTTAGTTTTGTGCGAATTCTATTTATTTAGCCATTCAATGATGTAAAACGATCTCGTGACTATATAAATAAGTTTCGCAAGGACGGTTTTAAGCCTGAAGAACTTAAACTCTATTGGAACGTAGAACAACTTGAAAATCTCTGTCCAAAACAAGGAGATCAGTCAGAAATAACACCGCCACATGATCCGTCAGATACCGATGCTATTGAAAATCTTCGAAAGTTTCCTGTTTACGATCGAAATCATCGTGTCAAGATTAACTACATTAACAAAGGAATTGAAAAAGCTGTTTTTGATGTACCTAAAGATGCTCAAATCATTGTTCTAAATTTTGCGGTAAAATATTTTACCGATAATTCTTATAAACACCATCTGAATTCTATAGAATGAACAATCACCAGGGGGCGGTTATTTACGACATGCCAGTAAGTAATATTTATCTTAAGTAAAATCAAAGAAAATTCATTATAATGTTCTTAATTTGCAAAATTTAATTGAAAAATATCCATAGAAATACAATTAATTATTTTATATAGGGGCACAAGAAGAAATTATTCTTTACAATTCAGATGGTTATCGAGCATTACTTGATCTCAAATATCAACGAATGAACGGTGGTTATGCTATACCCGAATTTGGATTAGCCTATGTTCGTAATATACGTTTCTTTGATGCAGAATCAGAGGAACGACATCGTTTAGCAGATATGTTGGTGTCGGCATGTTACTGTTTAAATGGATCTGAACTTTATGATAATCCGAGGACTCCTGAGGAGGTAATTAAGACGATATGTTTTTTTTTCAAATTCATTAACATCTTCATCAATTTATTAACATTGATTAATAAACTAAAATGTAAAAATAAATTTTATTTTAGTTGAAAAAAAATAATTTGGCTAAATTTCGTGCATTTATGGCAGCAGCTGTTGCAAATACAATAGGTGATGGTAGTAATACTTATCTTTTACTTGGACCTATTGGTACCGGTGCATTTGGAAATGATGTTGAAGATATAGCTGAATGTTTTCGTGAAGTACTCGAAATGCCAATGATGAATTCAACACGACCTATTCGTTATGCTTTTAGTAATATTTGGTTTGTTTCTATAGATGATTGGAAAAATGATATTTTCCACAAAATCTTACCTAAAAGTGAATCTGATAATGCTGAAGAACTTTAATGTAGTTTTTTTGTATTGCGTTTAAACATGAAAACAATGTGTTAAAATATTTACTCTATGCATGAAAGAAGCCTTATGCTTTTTTTTAAAAATTTTATTCGAGATATATTGAACAATTTAATTATGAATGAAAGTTGAAAATATATTGTTGTGTTTATTATTAGAAATGTGATTATATACATATATATCGTATTAAAGTTTTTGTGATTAAATTAAGCAGTAAACAGACGATTATTTGAGTGAGATCATCGAAATAAAAGTCATATATTTATGTACTAAAAGAATAGAAATATACAGGCTCTTACCCACAACCATCCAATAAAAAGTTACTTCATATGAACTATATACTGATCTAGACATTTTGCTAAGTATGCAATTATCACCGCTGTTCAAAAATACAATCAATATCTACATGATCAGCCAATTCACAGATTTTAGATATGCTGATTTCATAGGTTCACGAGAAATTAAATTTGTCTTGTTTTACTTTTCTATACTCATATATCTTCTACAACTTTAACAATATAAAGTATAAATCTGATAAGATGTCGGCGTAAGCAAGAGTGAGATCTATATTCCACCGACTCTCACTTCCTCAACGAGATTTTTTTGGCTTTTGTTGGATAATCGTGATTATCCATGGCTGTTCGTATGGATGTTGATGTTTTTTTTGAGTGGTCGCATGATTTACATGAGTTCATGTATTTTCTT